GATGCAAGGTGGACACGAGGGAAGTAGCCGTGGAGACCGAGGGTGACATATGGCAGCCATGGCCCGATGAACTGGTCGCCTCGTCTTCAGGATATACTCCGCTGTCATAGGATGGCGTGCTACTTGGCACAGAGTGAATCGGATGAGCAGGACGGAATTAAGACAGGGTTGGCCGGGGTTTGAGGATAGGATGAACGAGATTCGGCCAGAGCGGAGAAGAGGAAGCAAAAAAGGAGGAACAGAGTTTGGGAATTAGGTGGGTTACCAACAGTGGAAGCAGGGAGAAAGAAAACTCAAGGTTTACATGAGATTTTTAAGGCTAAACGGCAATCTTTAGCTGTGAAAAGTCGCTATTTATAAATTTTTCGTTTATAAGTAGGCTTGCACAAACGCCGTATTCATCCTTTTTCGATTAAGGTTGTAGATTAATTGTGCCACAATGAAATGAGAAAATTCAATTGCCACTCCTTCATCACTTAACGAAATATGTTGAATGCAGCTATAATAGTAGTTTAGAAGACCTATCTGTAAAACTGAAAAACGAATGGATTAAAATGTAATACTAGCAAATGAAAATTCATCGATAATTCTACTAAAGAACTATAGGAAAGATCTAATCTTCCGCAAATTTTTTTTGGTTTATAAGCAGGTTTTCGAGACTACCATGGGTATATTTATCCTATCTCATTTAAGGTGTAAAGGAACTGGTAGTTAAAATGGGGTGAATATATCTCATTTAATCAATTTACTGGTTGCCTCAAAAACCTAGCTCTAAACGAAAAATAAATAATGTTGTTGATTGCTATAGCAAATATAAGTTTACTTCATCGACAATCCTATCAAAGATTGTGATATGGTAAAAGGAATGGCCCTCCTTGAAATTCACATCTGCACTGTGACCCACAGCACTCGAGGCAATGCGGCGTAGTGATTATCGTGTCGAGATTACGCACTGCACTGTCATGGTTTGGGTCCGATGTGAATGTTGATAAGAACTAGGCGAGATAGAGACTGCAGTCCACTTCAGCCCGGATGTGAATACCATCTGGGAAAGAAATGCTATGTGAAATTCAATGGAAACGAAAGGTCCACTCATATCATTGTGGGAAACATTCAACTATCATTATCTTAAATGAAATATGGTAAATACATTTAATATATAAACTACGATATCGGTTCTTAAGTCAATCCGTAAATGTGTCAAGTATTGTGTCAAGGTTCTTAAAATCCAAGTATCTATAATTTGAATCCCACCGGGGCTGTTGACTACGCTATTTTCCTTCCCAGTTTATCGTAGCAGCTGAAATCAGAAGCCTTGGAGCATCCAAATGATTTAGAAAACGATAATTTAGCGGAATTTGGAACTGCTATTCTCATATTTGTAATGCGTAGGATTTCGAGACTATAGGAAGATTTTTAATAAGAGCCTATGTCAAACTAGATTTCTTAATGAAATGACTGACAAGCTCATATGCAACACTGCCACGGTTCGATTCCCGTTGGGTGTGTTGATAAGACCTAGGTTAGGGCGAAACTTCAGTCAACCGGTGCATGGATTAGAACAACTTTTGGGAAAGCAAGACTATGTGAAATTCAATGGAAACGTCAGCTG